CAATCTGTTCTTCTTAATCCCTTCACCTTTTCCATCTCCCCATCCCCTCCTCCCATCTGGCAACTGTCAAAATGTTCTTTGTATCTGTGAGCCTGTTTCTGTTCTGCTTGTTCATTTATTTTTTTAGATTCCACGTATAAGTGAATTCATACGTCATTTGTCTTTGTCTTTAACTTATTTGATTCAACACAATTCCCTCTAGGTCCAATCCAGGTTGTTGCAGATGTCAAGATTTAATTCTTTTTTATGACTGAGTCATATTCCAGTGTGTATATGCACCACTTATTTATTTATTCATCTATTGGTGGACACTTAGGTTGCTTCTATATCTTGGCTGCAGTGTACATATGCATGTGTATGTATTTTCAAATTATTGTTTTGGGTTTATTGGGATAAATTCGTAGAAGTAGAATTGCTAGGTCCTTCTTTGTCTCATTATAGCCTTTGCAGAACAGGTGTGCTCAATTGGCAGACAGCTTATTTCCAAGCCATGAATCAGGAACTAGGTTCCTTTCATCTTGTGGCTCAGCCTTCTTTTCAGTGTTGCTTCTATGGTTGCCATGCTTATTTGTATTAATCTCTGGAAAAAGGAAGGAGCTTGGACACTAAATAGTTGAGGCTATTAAGAACCAGGCCTAGAGGTGACACAGGTTATTTTTCTTTCAGATTGCTTTTGGCCAGAATTCAATTAAATGGCCACATCTAACTGCGAAACTGGGAAATATCTAGTTATATTTTGAGTAAGAAAAAGAAATGGGCCCAGCCGGTGTTGCTCAGTGGTTGAGCATTAGCCCATGACTCAGGAGTTTATAGTTCAATTCCTGATCAAGGCACATAATCGGGTTTCAGGCTTGATCCCTTGTAGGGGGTGTGCAGGAGGCAGCCGATTGATGATTCTTATCATTGATGTTTCTGTCTTTTTCTTCCTCTCCTTTCCTCTCTGAAATCAATAAAAACATTTTTTTAAATCTTTAAATTCTTTATTAGTTAAGGAATTACAAATGTGTCCTCATCCCCCCCCCCCCCCATTAACCCATTTATTAAATTCAATACTGTAAGGACACAAATTATCTTTATGTTTAATTATCTTTGTTTTGTTTTTTTACTCCTTTTAAAAAAATCCTCACCTGAGGATATGTTTTTATTGATTTTAGAAAGAGAGGAAAAAAGAGAGAGACAGGAAAAAAGAGAGAGACAGAAACATTGGTTAATTGCCTTCCATACGTGCCCTGACCGGGGATCGACCCCACAACCTAGGTGTGTGTCCTGTCTGGGAATTGAATTCACACCCTTTTTGGTGTACAGGATGATGCACCAACCCATTTAGCCACTGGCCAGGGCTATCTTTGTTTTTTTGTAGTTCCTCTCTAACTGTTTTAATATCTGCTGTTTTTCTCATTTGTATCACTGTGATTATTTCATGCCTTTCTTTTAGCATTACTTTTATTTTTTAACAGTATATATTCTTTTCCTTGCTGTTTTTATTTTATTTACTAATGTTTTTGCTTTTAAACTACTTTGGTTCTGCATATCCCAAGGTATTTTTTGTTTTTGTTATTTTTAACCTTTCTTTGTTTAACATCTCCTTTTTGAGCTTTGTTTGAACTTAAGTTTGAATAATTAAGTTTCATTTAGCATGGGCAGTTTTGAGAAATATCTTTATGCTGAGTTATATTTACTCCTAGATTGAGATATTTATCTTATTCATGTTATGCTTTTTATATTGTTTATTTTGAGGGTGTAGTTTCTTTGCCATTCAACTTTTTGTCATCTTGTTCATGCTTGGGAGGCTCTCTAGACCAGTGATGGCGAACCTATGACACGCGTGTCAGAGGTGACACAGGAACTCATTTTTTTGGTTGATTTTTCTTTGTTAAATGGCATTTAAATATATAAAATAAATATCAAAAATATAAGTCTTTGTTTTACTATGGTTGCAAATATGAAAAAATTTTTATATGTGACACGGCACCAGAGTTAAGTTAGGGTTTTTCAAAATGCTGATACGCCGAGCTCAAAAGGTTCGCCATCACTGCTCTAGACATTTACTGTACTGTAATTTAGGTAATTTCTTGAATAAACCTTGTCTGGGAAAGGAAGAAACTTACCTTTGCCCACAGGATTCTTTCAGCTGGTCTAATAATTAAATAGGTATGAGACATTAGCAAGAGAAAATAACCAAGTTTAATACATATGTATATATGGGAATCACTTATACATGTGAGAGTATAGGTCCCACATGAATAGAAAGGGAAAATGAGTATAAAGACATTTTGAGCCAGGGATAGGTAAGGTGCCTTGGGGTCTTTAAAGGGTCATTGCAGGATGATAAGAACAGATGTTAATAAATAGAAGTTTACCTTGCCCTTTAGCTAGGTCAAAAGAGTTTATCTCTAATAATCTTCTGTTAGGGACAAGGCTTTTAATTCAAGTTCTTCTAGGTAGTTAAGGGAGGGGCAGAAGTTTCTCTGGAGCCAGAGGCTAAAGTTGCCTTTAGCTCAAAACAGTCACATACCAGAGGCACATCTTGGGGTGACTTATTCTGAATCCCCACACCTGCCTTTTCCCTTTCTGATTTTTTACTCCTTTTTAAAAAGTTAGTTAGACTATTAAGATATTTTCTCCTAACCTCTTAGATTATTTTAATTTCTACTTGACTCTTTAAAATAATCCTGGATTTTATTTTGTATAAGGTAATTTTCCCCAAATTACGAGTTTTTCTAGTACTATTATTAAATAATTTCAGTCTTTCCCTGGAATCCTTTCATATCATATACTTAATATATATTGATATTTAATTGAGTCTTTTCCTGGAATTTCCTTTTGTTTTTTTAAAAAATATGTTTTTATTGATTTCAGACAGGAAGGGAGAGGGGGAGAGAGTTAGAAACATCAATGATGAGAGAGAATCATTGATCGGCTGCCTCCTGCACCCCCCACACTGGAGATTGAGCCTGCAACCCGGGTATGTGCCCTTGGCTGGAATTGAACCTGGGACCCTTTGGTCTGCAGCCCAAAGCTCTATCCACTGAGCCAAACCGGCGAGGGCTGGAATTTCCTTTTGTTCTATGTCTTTAGTGAATGTCATTAGACTGTTTCGATTCATATTTTACAGGCTAATAAGATGAATATAATTTATTCTCAGTCTGTTTCCATGAACATTTGCAATCCTCATCTCAGGATACATTTTAAAAAATAATATTTTTACTGATTTCAGAGAGGAAGGAAGAGGGAGAGAGAGATAGAAACATCAATGATGAGAGAGAATTGTTGACTGGCTGCCTCCTGCACGCCCCACACTGGGAATCAAGCCCTCAACACCGGCATATGCCCTGAGTAGGAATTGAACCGTGAACCTCCTGGTTCAACTATTGAGCCACACTGGCTGGGCTCAGAATACATTTCTTGATGTATCATACAGACCAGAGTTTTGTAATATTCCATGAGGACTTACATGTAATTACATTCTCACACATGTATATGTGTGTGCTTTCTTTGCCTTTTATTCTCATGTGCTCTTCAAGTTCTTTAGAGTTTATTTACCTTGTTATTCAGGGTCATTCATTATTCAATTATCCCAGCTCTTGTATCCTTTCAGAATAAAACCAGTATGGGAGGTAGAACATGAATAAAGGTAGAAAAGGTTCCTTTATTATCTTTATGGGAGAAAAATATTGATATAGAAATTAATAGACCAGGATCATTTTTACCTCATATTTAAAATTATATTGTATAATTATATTTGTTATTTGGTGAATACAAAGATAGCCCAACAAAACCTAATGTGTGTTACTTTTAATTTGTACTTTCTTTAACTCCCATGACCCATTTGTGAATTCTAGTCTTGTTTTGCTTATATACTGTCGCTTGATAAACCACCTCACAATTTTTAGTGGCTTAGCAGGATCATTAATGTTTTCCCCACGTGGTAACAGCTAGATATATTCATGGGACTACATTCAGCTGGTTACATGGTTCAAGATCATCTTATACACATGTCTGGGCCTAGTTGGTACTGACTGTAGGCTGGGGTACCTCAGAATGTAGGGCCTCATTCTCTACTTGGTCTATCAGGAGAGTATGTTAGGACTTCAAAGTAAAGCAGCAAACCATAACTTTAAATTATTTTTGTTAGTGATAACTAAATCATCCATTTTCTGAATAAGCCTAGGAAGATTTCTTGTTCTGGTTTCTAGTTTGTGGAATTTAATGCATGTTGATGGAGAATCTGACACTATTCTAATGCGAAAATGCATGTCAATGTGCTATGTAAATTTTAAAGTTCTATTTATAAAAGATACACAAAAGTATTTAGTTTTTAATGAGGAAAAATATGAAATAGTTTGCCAGATATAAATGTAGCAAATAATTGTAGACTTCAGTTACTTATATTTTATCTTGTTCAAGGAGAAGGAAGCTGAAGTCACTTTAAATAACTTATACTAGTATTATTATACTAGAGACTCTGTGCATGAAATTCGTGCACGGGGCGGGGGGGGGGGTCCTCCCCCTCAGCCCAGCCTGCACCCTCTTGCAGTCCGGGAGACCTCGGGGGATGTCCAACTGCTGGCTTAGGCCCGTTCCCCGTGGGTTGTGGGCCTAAGCCGGCAGTCAGGCATTCTTAGTGCTGCCATGGAGGTGGGAGAGGCTCCTGCCGCTGTGCTCACCAGCAGTGAGCCTGGCTTCTGGCGCACTGACCACCAGGGGGCAGCTCCTGCATTGAGCGTCTGCTTTCTGGTAGTCAATGCACGTCATAGTGACCAGTCGTTCCGCCGTTTGGTCGATTTGCATATTAGCCTTTTATTATATTGGATTTCAATATATAGTAATGCTATTATGTAAATATACTACTGATCTTGTTTATGTATGAATTGTCATTAGAAGTGATTTTATAGTTTTTGACAAGTATTTGTTAACATTTCAAATACTAAACAATTATTTTTAAAAATCTCATCTTGTGCATGTTATTTAAATTGGATTTTACTTCTATTCATTTTTAGAAATATAAGGAAAAGGATAAACACAAACAAAAACATAAGAAGCAACCAGAACCATCACCTGCATTGGTTCCTTCTTTGACTGTTACTACAGAAAAAGTAAGTTTTAAATGTCATATTTTGTTTTATATAATAACAAATTATGTGCTGACTTTTACCTTTAAGAAGTATTTTCATTCCCAGCATCCTGGTTCCCAACCTCTCTAACTCTATATCAAGCACTGGGTATTTCCATATCTTAGTCCTTAACCTACCTTCTATTTATATTATACTTGTTTCTGAAGAATGTTAAAGATAAGCAGTGGGAAAATATCACTGAGGTTAGAATTTGGGCTGTGGAGTAGGCTTTGTTCACCTGTGATTTTGAATTCTGGCTTCACCACTTAACTGACAGCTCTAAGGACAGATTAATTAACCTCAATTTCATCATCTGTAAAGTGAAGGAAGTAGCTATTGGAATTGAATGAGAAAATCTATGTAAAGCAATTAGAACAGTGTCTGGCTCATAGTAAGTATTACTTTGTGAATGTTAAATATTATCAAGATTATTTTCACATGGTTAATATGAAAACGAATAGATACAGGGACAGGTGGCTGGGACAGAGTAAACAAGGGTTGGGCGGGGGTGGGGGCGTAGAGTGTAGTTGTAGGTGATGAGGCCATGTGAGGAGCCAATAGGGTTAGGTAAGCCAGTGGAAGGACTTTGTTATTTAGGTTGAGTGAAAAGTGAGCCATTGAGGTTCTGAACTTAGATGTAACATTGTCTGGCTGCTTTATTGTAGATAGACTGTAGAGAGTCAAGTATGACAGCAGGGAGACCATTAGAAGGTAATTAAAACAGTCCAGAGAGAGATGGGGGTAATATGGAGAAATAGTTGAGGTGACTAGACTTTGATTGAATACATTTTAATGGCTTCAAATTGACGTAGAAGTATAAATTTGAAAAGCTAAATCTGCCTTTGCCTTCTCTGATTTTTTTTTTACTTTTTGATGCTTAGCAAAGTCTTTCCTTCCTTAAACTTATATAAATATTTTTAAAATATTTTCTTCCAGCTTTTTAGATTATTTATTTATTTTTTTATGGTTAATCCTCACTTGAGGATATTTTCCCACTGATTTTTAGGGAGAGTGGAAGAGAAAGGGAAAGACAAAGAGAAACACCGATGTGAGAGAAGCACATCAATTGGTTGCTTCCTGCATGCGCCCCGAAAAGGGCCTGGGCCAGGGAGGAGCCTGCAACCAAGGTATATGTCCTTGACCAGAATCCAACCCGGGACCCTTTGGTCCGCAGGCCAGCGCTCTGTGGACTGAGCCAAACTGGCTAGGGCAGATTATTTTAATTTTTAAGTACTTCTTTAAAATAATCCATCTAGATTTTGTTTTATTTTGTATAAGATACTTTTTTCCAAATTACTAACCAGTTTTTCTAGTACCATTATTAAATATTCTCAGTCTTTTGCTACTGGTTTGGAATCCTTCCTTATCATGTACTAAATATTTATATATAATTGAATCTTTTCCTGAAATTTCCTTTTGTTCTATTGATATATTAAAGTCAGCCTGTCTTTAATGAATGTCATTAGACTGCTTTGATTAATATTTTACAGGCTAATACGAATGTAATATATTCATAGTCTATTCTGTTGAACATTGCAATCTTCATCTCAGGACACATTTCTTGATGTATCACACAGGACTGGAGTTCTGTAGTTATTCCATGATGACTTACATATACTTATATTGTCTCACATGTATATGTACATATTTTGCCTTTCATTCTCATGTGTTTCCTAGGCTTCAGAATCTGATCAGCTCTCATCAACTGATTTTTTTTTTTTTTCGGGGGAGGGGAGTGCGGCGAAGCATTTGATACCCCTTTTTTTGTTTTTGTATTTGTGGTATTTAAAATGGAGACCTTTAAAGAAAGGGGATATTGTTGAGATTTGGAACATCACATTTTTTCAGTTAAACGGTACGAACTCGTTCTTCCCATTTCCCGGAAATACCTCATCAACTGATTTAAAAAGGGCTAATGTCATAATCAGATCAGCCCTGGTAGATTAAGATAAATAATCTGGTGAGGTCTTGAGTGATTTGGATTGTAGAACACTTGAGTCATAAATTTCTTTTAGGAGAACAGTGTCATTTTCTTCGTTCACCACACTCTCTCACCTGCTGCTGTGGAAATGGATAGATCAGGGAATGTAAGGCTGAGTGTTACTCTAGCTGCAGGGCTCTTTTAAACACCATGGTTCATATTAGTAGAGCACATTTAAATTGCAAATCAAGTGTAACTTTAATTAACTAACTTTAAATACCTGTACTACATAGCCAGTTGTTGGGGCTTTTTTAGTCTTTAAAAAATACTTTTATTGATTTGAGAGAGGGAGGGAGAGGGAGAGAAAGATAAAAACATCAGTGATGAGAGAGAATTATTGATTGGCTGCCTCTTGCACGCCCCACCCTGGGGATCGGGCCGCAACCCCAACATGTGCCCTGACTGGGAATCAGACCTTGACCTCCTGGTTCATAGATTGGCACTGAACCACTGAGCCATGCCGGCTGGGCCACATAGCCAGTTTTGATTGCACGTTTTTAAATCCTTGCTTTTGCCATTTCTTATACCTTAACACAAAATTTGCCCTGACCAAGTGGCTGGGTTGGGTGGAAAGTCGTCCCATACACCAAAAGGTTGAGGGTTCAGTTCCCTATTAGGGCACATACCTAGGTTATGGGTTCAAGCACTGGGCAGGGAGCATACTGGAGGCAACAAATTGATATTTCACTCTCATATTGATGTTTCTCTCTCACATCGATGTCCCCCCTCCCTTCTCGCTCCCTTCATCTCTCTAAAATTAATGAACATAGCCTCACTGAGGATTTTTAAAATATTAAAAAATAAGTACAAAATTTTATTTTATTCTTTATTAACTAAAATTTCACTCTACCAGTCTTAAATTTTTCAACTGTATTTTTCTGTGACCAACTTTTAACCCTTTATGACTCTAAACATAATTTTTAAAATCTTTATTATTGAAAATATTGCATATATCTCCTTTATTCTCCCATTCACCTGTTATAGCCTGCACCCACCTCCGCACAGGCCCCCACCACCCTATTGTCTGTGTCCATGGGTTATGCTTATAATCATACAAGTTTTTTGGTTGATCTCTTCCCACCTGCCCACCAACCTCTGCCTTTCTCTGAGATTTCACAGTCTGTTCTATGCTTCTGTGTCTATGGATCTATTTTGTTCATCAGTTTATTTTGTTCATTAGATTCCACATATAAGTGAGATCATGTGATACTTATCTTTCTCTGACTGGCTTGTTTCACTTAGCATAATACTCTCCAGGTCCCTCCATGGTGTCTCAAAGGGTAAGAGATCTTTCTGTTTTTACTGCTGCAGAGTATTCCCTGGTGTAAATGTACCACAGCATTTTTATCCACTCGTCTACTGATGGGCACTTCGGCTGTTTCCAGATCTTAGCTATTGTAAAGTGTGCTGCTATGAACATAGGGGTGCATACATTCTTTCTGATGAGTGTTTCAGGTTTCTTAGGATATATTCCTAGAAGTGGGATCACTGGGTCAAATGGCAGTTCCATATTTGAGGAAACTTCATACTGTTTTCTATAATGGCTGCACCAGTCTGCATTCCCACCAGCAGTGTACTAGGGTTCTTTTTTTTTTTAAATCTTCACCAGCATTGTCATTTGTTGATTTGTTGATGGTAGCCATTTTGACTGGTATGAGGTGAAACCTCGTTGTTTTAATTTCCATGTGATGATCATTGACTTTGAGCATATTTTCATATGTCTCTTGGCCATCTGTATGTCTGTTTGTATGTCTGTTTTCAAGAAGTATCTATTTAGGTTCTTTGCTCATTTTTTAATTGCATTGTTTGTCTTTCTTATGTTAAGTTGTATGAGTTCCTTATATATTTTGGCTATTAACCCTCTAGCAGACGTATCATTGCCAAATATGTTCTCCCATACAGTGGGCTTCCTTTTCATTTTGTGGTGTAGGTTTTTATTTTGATGTAGTACCATTTGTTTATTTTTACCTTAGTTTCCTTTGCCCTAGGAGATGTATCTGTAAACATATTGCTATAAGAGATGTCTGAGATTTTGCTGCTTATGGTTTCTTCTAGGATTTTGATGGTTGCACAATTCACATTTAAGTCTCTTATGCATATTAAGTTTATTCTTGTGATGGTCTAGTTTCATTTTTTTGCACGTAGCTGCAACTAGTGGAAGTGTCTTTCTCACATCAGTGTTTATCCTCTCCTCCTTTTGTTCCTCTATCTTTAAAATCCATCAATAAATTTTTTTTATATGTTATAACTAGAGGCCCGGTGCACGAAATTCGTGCAAGGGGGGCGGGTCCCTCAGCCCGGCCTGCACCCTCTCCAATCCCGGGGATCAGGTCTAAACCGGCAGTCAGACATCCCTCTCACAATCCTGGACCACTGGCTCCTAATTGCTCACCTGCCTGCCTGCATGGTCGCCCCTAACTGCCCCCCCCCCTCCCAGCCTGATTGGCTCTCACTGCCTCTGTGTGCCGGCTTGATCACCCCTAAATGCCCAACCTGCTGGCCTGGTCACCCCTAACTGCCCCCAGCTGCCGGCCAGGTTGCCCCCAACTGCCCCCTTCCTGCCGAACTGGTTGCTCCTAACTGACTCCCCCACCCCCGCTGACCTGTTCACCTGTTACTGCCCCCTCTGCCGGCCTGATTGCCCCCAACTGCCCCCCTCTGCCAGGCTGGTCGCCCATAATTGTCTCCTCCACCAGCCTGATCACCGCCAACTGCCCCCCACTGCTGGCCTAGTTGCCCCTCATTGCCCCATCTACGAGCCAAATC